CTCTTTCTCTCTCTCAAAATAAATAAATAAACTTAAAAAAAATACCAAAAAACCTTGGTTGGTGTGGATATTTATAGGCATCAGCCATATCATGGGGAGGGCAATCAGACCTGAGCAAGGCAACACGACGGGTCTGTGTTCATCAAAAGGAGGCGGGGTTCCTAAACCGAGAAATGCCGGCTTATTTACAACCACTTCTTTACACACAGATGCGGAGACTCAGGTGGCAAAGAGGGGTTGTCTGAGGTTGCATAGCCAGTAGTCAGCAAGGCAGAGCTCTCAACCCCCAGATCAGTGCTCCTCCTCCGCCCCATGCCTGACCATGGCCTTGTGCAGGGAGGAAGTGGCCCCGCCCCAGGGCAGGTGAAGCACTGGGTCAGGACTGAGAGGTGGATGGCACAGGGAGATCCTGGGGCAGCCAGTTCATCCGAGACTCGGTTTCCTCATATGCAAAATGGGGAAGACAATATTCTGCCACACAGGGCTGGTGATGGATCAAAAAAGAGGAAGAGAAAGCCCTTTACAAATGGCACCACTGTATTTATAAGTGGCCCTTCTGGCATTTATATCATCCAAGCACACTGAGGCTGCAAATGTAGACAGTTGCAACCACCTCAGCAGCACCACGGGAAGGATTTCCAGACAAGTAGGAAAATCAATGCTAATCCAGACTTCCTGAGTACTTTGTAATCAGGGGTAACCGTGTAAGTGGGTAGCCACATGGGAAAAAGAAAGGTTACATTGGATTTACTTTTCAAATTGTAAACCAGGATAAATTCAAAATAGAACATAAAGTTTAAAAATGAAACCATACCAGCATTAGAAGAAAACATGAATTCTTCTGCAACTTAAAAATGGGAAAACTTTTCCAACCATGGCTCAAAATCCTGAAGTAATAATCAGTAAAAGATTAATAGATTTAATTACATAAAAATAAAAATAATGCCTCTAAAGCAACAAGACAAAAGCAAACACCATAAGTATGGGGAAAAAACAAATGACAAACTGAAAAGAAACTGTGCAACATACATCACAGACAAGAGTTTGATAGCCTTAATATACAGGGAGTGCCTAAAAATAAAAAATAAAAAGACCAAGAATCCTGTGTATGCCCTAGAGATAACAAACAGGCGACGGTCCTTTATTAACTTATTAAGTGGCATTTATCCTCACTCATAAGATAAATGAAAATTTAAACTATCCTGAAAACAATGTCTCACTTATCAGATAGACCAAAAAAACCAAATGGACAACATAATCTGTTGCTAAGTCCATGGGAAAATGGACATTTTCATACACTCCTGGTAGAGAGGATAGTGTGTGTGAGCATGGGGGGAAATTTGGCAATATATATTGAAATTACACATTCATTTATCTTTTGACCTAAGAGTGTCACTTCTTGGGATCCACTCCAAAGATTTAATGGCAAAAATAAGAAAAGGTGTGTGATAGAGGCTTTTCGCTGCAGCACTAATTATAGTAGCAAAAGTTTGGAAACAATTCAAATGTCTATCAGTAAACAACTGGTTGAATAAACTATATATCTATATATATCTATATATATCTATATATATCTATATATATATCTATATATATATATATATATATATATGTTATTTTGAGAGAGAGTATGTGAGCAGAGGAGGGGCACAGAGGGGGGCAGGGGAGAGGATCCCAAGCAGGCTCTGCATGGTCAGCACAGAGCCCAATACAGGGCCTGAACTCAACAACCATGAGATCATGACCTGAGCCAAAATCAAGAGTTCTACACTGAGCCAACCAGGCGTCCCTAGTCTTCTTTAAATATACTTTGTTTGGGACTTTGGAACCTTGTAAACATTTTACACAATTATAAAATAGAAAAAGATTTTAAGTGAACTTTTTAAAATCAAAAGTAAAATGAAACAAATGAACCTGTATGTTGAGTTTGTGCCCAAACCACAGAGAGATGAATCATTTCTAGTGACTTTAAAACACAGGACTTTGTTCATTCCTAGTGGGATATACAATAAGGACAAAAAGAACTCCAAAACAATCTTAAATTGCAAAGTATATTAAGGGTAGTAATATTGGTTTTGCTTTTGGTGACTATTACATATGTATTGTGAGGTAAAGCAAATAAATACTTGTGTTGGTGTCGCTGAAATTTTCAGCATAGAGAAAGGAAATAGGACTATACAATAGATGACGTAAAAACTGTCATGGTAAATTTGAATTGGACGTATCAATATACATTTTATTATTTTGAAAAACAAGTTTTTTGAGAGCCAGCTGCATATTGCAGCATCAGAAAGAGAAACACTTGTCTTTGGAAAGCTTATACACCAGTGGAGGAAGACAGAGAGTAAAGTAAAATGCCTATGGTACATGGTAAATAGGAGAAAAAGAAGGGAGATAGGGAATTACGGGAGTGTTGCACTTGTAAATAGGGTCAGGAAAGGCTTTACTGAGAAGAGCTCAGAGTAAAGACCAACTAGACATCTAGGGGAGAAGCATCCAGGCAGGCACAGGGGCGAGCAGAGTAAGCCCTGAGGCAGGGGTGCCTCTGGTATATTCAGGAACAATAAGGAACTCTCTGTGACCTGAGCTGAATGCGTGGTAGAGAGAATGAGGTGACGCCTCTGAAAACCACTCTCCACAACACAAAGATCTTTTTCAAAATGTGGATCGCATTGTATCACATTATTTAAAATTCAGTAGCTTCCCATTGCTCTCAGGATAAAAGAAAACATGGATTTCTGTCCTGCATGGGGCTGGTTTCCACCTACCTTTCCAAATTCTTCTCATAATCACTCTATTCCAGGTAGACTCTATACTAACCAGATTCTCAATGTCCTGAGAATTGTACCTATGCTGTTCTGCCTGAAACACCCATTTTCCTTTACCCAGCTAATACCATGTCTGTTCTAGGTTAGCTCAAATACTTCCTGTTACCTTCTTTGACTAGATCAAATCCCTTTTATAAACGCCTCTCCTTTGTTGTACTCAAGTTTTTATGGGATTATCTAGTCGGTTTCCCTCACCATACTAGAGTAGGCTGTTTTTAGTCCCTTGTATCCACAATGCTCAACAAAGGAAGCACAGTAGGATCTTGGTAACTATTGGTAGAAAACACGAACAATTCAAACCAGGCAGTTAAGAGGTTATTACTATTGTCAGGAAAAGAACAAAGGAGTTGTTGTACTAGGGTAGTAGCTTAATAATATTAGGGACCACTTCAAGTTCTTAAAAATCAAGAGAATTAACATTTAAAAATATTTTCGGTTTATTTTGAGAGAGCAAGAGCAGGGGAGGGGCTGAGAGAGACGGGGACGGCATCCAAAGCAGGCTCTACGCTGACAGCAAGCTTGATATAGAACGGTGAGATCTCACCAGGTACAGTGAGATCATGACCCAAGCCCAAGTCAGATGCTCAATTGACTGAGCCACCCAGTAGCCCTTTTTTAAATGTCTGAGAGAACAGTGGAGGGGCAGAGAGAAAGGGGGGGACAGAGGATCCCAAGCAAGCCCCATGCTGACAGCAGAGAGCCCGATATGGGGCTTGAACTCATGAACCATAAGATCATGACCTGAGCCAGAGTCGGACACTTGACTAAGCCACCCAGGCATCCCAAAAGAATTAACATTAATTATTCCAAACATTCCCAAACCAATTAAGTAAATGTGTACATCAGGTTGTTATAGTCAAGATGCTATTTTTGCAACATGATTCTACTGGTATCAGGGCCTGTGTTCCAAGTACCTGAGTTACCACCTTCAGGTTAGAAAAGGAAAAAGACGCATTACTTAGGACCACTGGAAAACAAGAAAATTGGTATGGCTCTAGTACCCCATCCCAGTATTCTTTTCTCCTGCAATCTGAATTTTACCAAACCATTCTGCTTTGCTCAAAGACTATTCGGGGGAAAGGGTCCATCCACTGAGAACTAATCGATAGACAACCACTTTTAGAATTACCAGTAAGGAGGTGTCAAAGAGGGGACAAGATTCTAACTGGCTAAGTAAATTATTCAGACAAGGAACACAAAAGCAGATTTAGTGGGTAAGAGATCAATGGTTCTGACTTGGAAGGTTTTGAGATTCTAGTGCTTACAAGGCATCTGGTTTGAGATGTCAAACAGGCAATTAAACATTGGTTTAGAGCCGTGCCCTGCTCATGCATAGTTTTTATGTGAATTAGGAGTCCGCATCCTCTGAAGCAGAGGGCACAAGTGCTTCAGTTGTGAGCACTTACGTGCAAGAACTATTCTAGGCACTCAGAATTGCCATTTTCAAAATGTACAAAAATGTTTAAGACTGTCAAGACAATTTAAAATATTTCACTATATAATCATACACAATACTGCCCTTCATTATTTCCTATGCATCACTACATACTTTGAGGACACCCATAAAAGGAGTACAACTTCAGAAATCCTGAAAAACAAAAATTCTACCAGCTATACGCAATTTATACTGCTCAGGAGCACCAGGGGCGCTCAGCTCATTAGGAGATTGAGCACTTCATTGGGCTCTGTGCTGAGCCTGCGAGGGATTCTGTCTCCTCTGCCCCTCACCCCATGCACACTCTCTCAAAATAAGTAATCTTTAAATACTGCTTACAAAAACTATCAAAGGAAAGGCCAGAATCATGTAAACATACACTTAAAACAGAAGAGGCAGAAGCTTAACACAAAGGGACAGTGTTTTTTATTCACCAATAAACTAAAAGTCCATTTCTAGATGTTTCTTTCCTTTGCATGCTTCATTTGTTTTATTAGCAAGCAAAACCCTGTAAGAGGTTGCCTTATCTAGTCTTCAGATTCAGATCCATCTTCATCTTGACTAATCTGGAAGTAACGAAGTTCGTAAGTCTCCTTGTCAGATGCAACCACACGAAGCCAATCACGAAGATTGTTCTTCTTAAGGTATTTCTTGGTAAGATATTTCAAATACCTGTAAGATAAAAACATGAATTTCATTAGGAAACATAATTATCTACCACGCACAGGATTATCATATAAGACATGCAGTTGTATTCATCTTTAATGTTCCCTCCAAAATATTTCATTTGTATCAAACACTGTGGAAGGTTGCTGGGGTCAGAAGAATTAGGCAGCTTCTCAACCCCAGTTAGAATCAGTTCATGTCCTACAAACCCTATTCCCCCACCTCCCTAAAATAAACGTCCTTTATGTTGAAGCTAAAGAGAGAGCCACAGTAGCTTGCTCTTCAGTTTTACTGCCATAACAAGATTACGTTTTAATTAAATACATAATCTCATTAGGGTGCCTGGGTGGTTCAGTCAGGTAAACAACTGACTTGATTTCGCTCCAGTCATGACCTCAGGGTTCTGGAATCCAGCCTGGTGGAGGCTGCTTGGGATTCTCTCTCCTCCTCTCTCAAAATAGATGAACCTAAAAGATCAGCACACCTGCAACTAGCATATGGCTCAGTTCTTACAAAAAACTTTCAGCATGGTCTCATTTCATCACTCCAGCCACTCTCTTCCATTTATGCTTTACAGTAATTCTCAACTACCAAGCATTCCTCAAGCTTCTGTTTTTCTTTCTTAATGCCGGTCCCTCTGGCAGGAATTACATCATTCGACTGGCAACACTGCTGATCGCAGGTTCTCTGCAAATTCTTGGCCCGATCTCTACCTTCAACACAGCTATTATAGCACTGCATTTTACAATTATGTGCCTATTATAAGATCCCTGAGAATATTACGTTTTCACCCCCGAATCCCTAATGATTAACCAAACAGCTAACAAGCGGCACTACTTGAGTCCAAGCCACTACCATCTCCTCTATTCTCACATTAAGTTTGTTGTCTTCAGCTTCACTTCTCAACTACTTAATACTGCACTTCACTGTCTCCACTAGAATTTAAGCTCCTTTGGTGGTAGGTACTTGGCTTCTTGGCCCACTGCTGGGCTATCCAATCCTACAACAGTGCTACCATATAAATTTGTTGAGTAAATTAAATGAACTAAAACTGGCAGCAAAATGTTACCTTTGACTACCTGCCTATACTAAACCAACCACCAAAACCTTTAAATTATATATGTATATATATATATACACACACACATACATACATATATATATATATGAAAACATTTACATCAGGCAAATTGAGACATTACTTTCAAGTTACACATTAGACACGTTTCTTGCAACATATTCTAATATTAAATCATCTAACATCATTAAAGCTTATATATAATTTGGATTTCAGGGACTATAATGTACTGGACAGGAGCCTATATTCCAGCAAAAATTTATGCTTACTGACAACCAGCCTAAGTAATTGGCCCAGTTACTGAATATATTTTCCATTCACGCAGGCTATTAGGAAGTTCAAAACACTTTTCATGTGCATCTCTGAACGTATCAACACATCTATCCCTGCATATGAAGAGAAAATATTAGGATTACGTATTCTGTAATATTCACAATTACCATCATTTCACTAAAAGATTATGGGAAACAAATACCAACCTTTTAGAGAACTGTTTCTCAGAAACAACTGTGATTTTATTCTTGATGCGTTCAATGTGAACAACATTCCCCAGATTTCCAGTTTTTCCATTGACTTTAACCTTCTCCCGTAGAAACTGTTCCTATTTTAAAACAGAAAAAATGCAAAACTAGGGAAGAAAACCCTAGATTTTCACTAGGGAAGGTACCCTAGGAATAGAGCTTAGGTTAAAATCAAGAATTATATACTTAAATCATTAAGCACTCTACTACAATGATAAAAACAAGCCAAGGAGAGTGATACTTACAAAATTTCCAGAATCAAAAATTCCATCTTCTACTGGATGAGTAAGGTCCAAATTAAATTTCCAGGTTGACTTCTTAGGCTTCTTGTCTTTCTGCTACAGATAGTTAACATAATTAGGACTAGTCCATTCACTCATTTTTATATTGCAAAACTTTAAAATCTGTTATCAGCCCAAAGATGCAGTGTACTGTGGTGTCATATTATGAAATGGTGCAAAATTGTAAAAAGTCGCTGAATTTATCTATTGGGTATACCCCTTTTTCTTAGTCTGTCAGAAAAGGGGTACACTCCTTAACTTGTTTAAACCGGGTTTTTGTGAAATCCAATGGTAATCCTCCCTGTTCACCATGCAAGTGTCTCAAAAGTGCAAAACTCAAGGAAGCATGAAGCGTACGGGTAGCCACTATTAGTTCTCTGAATGAGAAAATTCCAAAGAATCCTATATTTACAACTGGAAAAGATTAATAAGAGAATCAATTTACTTTCTACTGTAAATTAAAATTAAACCACGACCTGGGGTTGGTTTGAACCTCTAACCAAGTCTATTCTGTTCCAATTATCAAGAAAAGTTTTATGGGCTTTTAGTATTTTCCAAGTCACTGATGTTCAATTTTAAATTTATCAGGTACTATTTACTATAGGCCAGGCCCTATGGGAAACAGGTAGTATACACCACTTTGCCCAAGCTCAGTTATACACCAGAACAGGATACTCTATCCACTCAAGCCTACAGAATTAAATCATTATTGTGTTATAAGAGAGAGGAAGGAGATATTTAATTCAAGTATGTAATTTAAAAAACATATGTAACTTTAGTTTGCCATACCCCAAACTCAGAATTATCATATAATCAGGCTGTACAAGTAAAACGTTGCTCTGGCTACTATCAATATACATTCAGACAATGTCCTAAAAACAGACAAATCAGTATTCATCAGAGGATGCATCTCCAAATTAGATCCACCCAAACGGATACCAAGTACTAATGCCAGCTTGCTTTTAGGTAGACGAGTAATTTGCACCAAAAAAAAAAAAAAAAAAAAAAAAAAAAAAAAAAAAAAAAAAAAAAAAAAAAAAAAAAAAAAAAAAAAAATCCCCTCCAAAACTTAGAACTGGTAAATTGCCAACGTATACCTACCTCTTCTTTCAAATGCTCTTTAGACTGGTTTTGGTGTCTGATTCCCTTATTAACAACGTAAATAAGATCTTTTCACGCTTTTTTATCTGCCTAAAATCGTGACTTTTACCTTTTAAAAAAATTCCTTCATGAAGTAACAATGACAATTCTTCCTTTAGTCCTAAAGTTCTCTGAAACTTTTGTAGCCTCGGAGCTCCCTCCGCGCTGGCGAGGCTATCAGACCGGCCCGATTACCCACATTTCTTTCCTGGTGCAAACGAATAGGACAGCATCGGCATTTCCAGAAGCGAGACTGAAAAGAAAAAGGCCCCAGTGCTGTCCTACTACCCTTGTTCATCGTCGTGCCTCCTCCTTCCTTGCGCTGCCACAGCCACCCATCCCAAGCCAGTTCCGGACGGGGCTCGAACTCTACTAGACCGCATGGCAGTCTCCAGGAGTCTCGAAAATAACAACTTGTAATTTTAACAACGTGCTTGTGTTCCTGACCTAGTCTCCATTTCAACTCTTCCTTTATCTCGAATGAGAGGTCCCCAACTCGCAAAATTTTTGTAGATGTAAAAATCATCTACACCGGGGTAACACCCAAAGAACGCTCCCACCCAAAGAACGCTCACTCACCGGCGCCATCTTGGAGGCCAACCGTGGGATCAGAGAGAAAGCTACAGGCGCGCGTCACGTATTTATAGCAAAACGTGCTGCGTCACGCGCTGAGAACGTACCCTCGCTGCCTCCCGGAAGAGAACGTGTGGAGGCCGGTAACCCAGGAAACTGGGGCGTGGCCAGGGTGGATAGGTTTCCTACGCAGTCAGGTTTCCCGGGAGCGCCGGCTAGTGGCCATTGTAAAGTAATTCACGATTTTCCGCTAAAGACAACACTAAGCCATGGACCTCAGAGGTCTCTGCAGTTCCTGGGAGGTCGCTCTCAGATAAACACAACCGAGGGATGCAGGAATCATCTTTCATTGATCACCTAGATCTTCTTTCCAATCAGGGCAAGACAATGTCACATTTCAGGGTGTTTTGGGATCTTCTGTCTTATATTGTAATTACAATTATGCAGAGAAAAAGTTACGTCTGTATTCATGTTTCATCTATGAGTCTTGTTTACTAAATGACTGTTGAGGGAAGTGTTTCAGGGAGCCAAAATAAATTGGGTTCTTGAGGAAAAAAAAGCTTCTAAGAGAAGAAAAAAAAGGATTGCTCTCACTTGTTCACTTGTAGAGTGTGATTTAATTTTATCATGGGTTTTAGTTAGCCCTGTGTAGAAATTAAGATGGAGTCACTCTTGTGAGGCAGAACTTAGGTCAAGCAGTGATGTAAGCAGCCAAGGGCAGGTACCTTCCAAGCCAGTACGACTGACCACACCAAAACTGATAACCAGCAGAACCAGAGGAGGTCTGGTTGAATCCCTTTAAAAAGGAAGGATTTTTGCAGCAGACTGTCAAGACTTTCCAGATGCTGACCCTTTCACCTCTGACCACACCAAAAAGGCGACTACCCCAAAGGTTCTGCCTAGATGGTCTCTGGGCAGAACAGAGATCCTTCGCTGCTTGAACATAATAAGCAGCAAGTGCTGAGAGCTGGCCTAGACCCAAGGGAGGCCTTATCATAACCCCACACTCAGAAAATGATTGCAAGTTTAGTTCATTAATTTCCTACCTCTTGTTTTATCTTGTTGTGTGCTTGCCTTGTGCTTTAATTTGTGTGATGGGTAAGAAACCAAGTTAAACGTGAAATGTCATTGAGTTTGGAATCCTGAACCTGATTTACAATTTAACTTTGCTTTATGATTGAATAAAGCTGATATTATGGAAAGACACAACTCATGTGTGCACCTTCATAGCATGCCCATGATACCCTAGGGCTCCTGACTTCCATCCAAAATGCGTCCCAATTAAAGTTCAACAAATATTTGCTGAGACCTAACTACTAAAATGCATAAAGCACATGAAGGTGAATGTGGGGTGGGGACAGTTTTGATGACAGAAGGAACAAATAGCCTTTGAACTTTGAAGAATTGTAAGTTGACAACAGATCAGAAAAATGATATCCTTCTCAATATTTTGCAATTTGTTTTACAGAGGTGAAACTATCATACTGGGAGCCAGAGGTATGGATGGGGGGACTTTTGTTGTTAATATTCAGAAAATTTCCTAGAAAGTAACAACTGCAAATATTTTTTAAAAATTTGTTTAATATTTATTTATTTTTGAGAGAGAGACAGAACATGAGCAGGGGAGGGGCAAAAAGAGAGGGAGACACAGAATCTGAAGCAGGATCCAGGTTCTGATCTGTGAGCACAGAGACTGATGTGGGGCTTGAACCCATAAACCCTGAGATCATGACCTAAGGTTGGATGCTCAACCGATTGAGTCACCAAGGTGCCCCTATTTTTTATGACAGTGGTTAGTCATAGTGGAAACTATGCTTTAATAAAGCATACAATGTGTAGGATCTGAATATAACTATTGAATTCCTCGGAGAGATCCATTTCAAGAGTTTTTTTTTTTTTTGGTTGTTTGCCTCAAGAACCAGAATTTCTTTCTCAAAGATTAAGGGGAAAAAAAAAAGGAAATTGGCATTTTCTCCTCAAGGGCTGCTCAGGCTGCAGAGCAGAAATTATCCTTGCAGTATTGGGTATTTTGAAAATAAACTGTTAATTGATACACTATTTTATTTCTGTTGTTTTTGGCAGACTTCCATGTTATGACTGAAAAACGAAACAAAGAAATAAACAACAACAAAAAAAACCCTTTAGGAACTATTAAGTCATTTGTACACAGGAGATATTAAAATGTGCTTCAAACTAGCTAGTAATCTCAAAATAACTAAATTGAAACCATAGTGCAAAAAAAAGACTTCTCTAATTTTTTAATGCTGAAAAGAATATTAACTAGAAATGTGCAGATGGTAAGATTAAATATTGTAAATAACATAGTATTTCCCAAATTTTACACATGAACTATAAACACTCAATGCCTGTCAACACCCCCTCCCAGACAGTTCTTACTTTGAAATGGATTCTAAAACATATGAATTAAATGTCTGAAAAGAGTCAAGAAAATTTAGAATAAGGAAAAGTTACCTTTCCAGTCATTCAACTATAAGATACTATAATATATGATAGATATAGTTCTAATATAAACTTCAATCATTTGATCTACATGATTCTGGAGCCTGAATAGATCAATAAAATAAAATATAGAAGGACAATATGGCAGATTGGATGGAGAAATCCCTCCATATGTAGCCACCCTAAAAAAAAAAAAAACAACTGGATAAAACACAGTGTTATACATAATTTCTAATGTATGATCAAGCTGGTTGAAAGCAAAAATTTTTTGGAGGCAGAGATGACAAGGCATGCTCATGTAACTTTGGGACTAGGATCAGCTCTGCTCAAATAGCATGAAAAAACTTCAACCTAAAAATATTGTTTAAAGAGTGCTTGGACTGATAGTGCTAGGCAAAAGTAAATGTAGATCCTATCTGTAAAGATGTACTTTAGATTCAGGCACAAAGGATTCCCTGAGATAAACTTACAGAAATATGAGTTGACAATTTTTTTTTTAAATCACTAAGTACAAAAGAAAACAAGCTACTATGAATGAAAATCAAAATCCTCCAAAAAAACTATAAAATCAGACCCATTTATATTGGAATTATATAGAATATAAAATAAGTGTCTTGAATATATTTAGAAGTTAATGGTATTTCAGATATGGTGAGGGAAACAGGAACAATCAAATTGGCTAGTACTAAAAGAAAATAAGTTCTAGAAATTAAAAATAGAAAACTTTAGTTAGAAAGAGTGGAAGAGTTAAACAGGAGAGTAGCCACAGCCACAGAGAAAATTAGTGAATGGGAAATTACTTAGAGTGCAACATAGACAAACACTACACATCTCCAGAAAAATATACTCAAATGACATTGTAGCACAAACAGTCCTATGGAAGCAAACTGCGCAGCTTTTTTTTTTTTTTTTAATTTTTTAAAAAATGCCTTTTATTTATTTTGAGACAGAGAGAGACAGAGCATGAGCAGGGGAGAGGCAGACACAGAATCCAAAGCAGACTCCAGGCTCAGATGTCAGCACAAAGCCTGATGCGGGGCTCAAACCCACAGACTGTGAGATCACAGCCTGAGCTGAAGTCAGCCGCTTAACCGACTGAGCCACGCAGGCACCCCTGCACAGCTTTAACAAAGGATGTGCTACAGCCCTTCTATGCAAACTGTGAGGCACTGAGAGAAACTTACTACCGCCTAAGAATATTGCTTTTGATCCTCCAACCTTGAATGTTCTTTGTTAAATATTTATAAATGAAAGTTAAGGGTGCCAGGCAGGGGAAATAAATCTGAAGTCACTCCTGCTTGTCTTTCCTTTACTAATTTGATTAGAAAGCATTAAACATTAAAACATTAAAAACTGAGATGAAAAAGTTTATGCTTGCTTCAATGCATCTTTTCTGTCTGTGTATATTTAGGAAAACCTTAAATGGTTATTTACTTTTATTATTTCTAACAACTGTAATTTCAGAAGTAAGATTTTCTTGTTAGTGCTGTAGGAATTCTGAATAATTGATCAAATTTTAAAAAGAGAGTAAGTATCTTTTTTCATTGATTATTTTCTGTAATTTTTGTCTTGTTATTTTTAGCTTGGTCATTCAAATTATTGCCCATTTAAATTTATTTCCACCTTTGCACCATTATAAGCAATGATTTAAGGAACTTTTTAAATTAAAAAAAATTATTATCTTAAGTCAAAAGAAATTCTCATGAAAAGAAATACAGAGAAACAAAAAAGAGAATGCATAAAAATATCTAAAATCCTACTTGCTTAGAAATAGCTTTTTAATGCATTGGGGGCATGCATGTTTGTGAATATGTATGAATAAATATAAATAATTTAGATTACACAAGTAATTACATTCATGTATAAAATTGGATGGTACTATACATGCTTTTTGAATTAAAAAACTTCTTTTAGAAAAAAATTACTGTACCTAAAATTGTAAAAGTTACAAAAATAGTTCAAAGAAAGCACACACACACACATACACACATATAAATATAAATGCATAAAAATCCGGACAAAGGCTATATAAATACATATATGTGTCTATATATCCTTTATGCGGATTTTTACTTATTATTGACATTTTGCTCCATTTATCATTTGTTTGTCCTCTTTCTCTCCATCTATATCTACATCTATAAATCTTTGTCGGGCGGGGGCGGGGGGCACCTGGGTGGCTCAGTTGGTTGAGTGTCTGACTTCGGCTCAGGTCATGATCTCACAGTTTGTGAGTTCCAGGGCTGCATCAGGTTCTGTGCTGACATCTCAGAGGCTGGAGCCTGCTTCAGATTCTTTGCCTCCATGTCTCTGCACCTTCCCCACTCTCACTGTGTCTCTCAAAAATAAATAAACATTGAAAAAAAATTTAAAATCTTTGTGGGATGTTTTCTTTATAACTTTCTCATTTATTAAATTTGTTCTGTTTAGGCTCTCTATTTTTTTTTTAATTTTTTTTAATGTTTATTTTTGAAGGAGAGAGAGACAGAGCATGTGAGTGGGGGAGGGGCAGAGAGAGAGGGAGACAAAGAATCCAAAGCAGGCTCCAGGCTCTGAGCTGTCAGCACAGAGCCCGACGCGGGGCTT